GATACAGAAGCTTGTGTGTGGGGCATCATAACAATGTACTAACTGCAGTTTCCATTGGAAAACTAGGACATCAACAGCACACAACATACTCTCTTGGACCAGGCTTTACTAACCCAGTGCCCAGTGGGAATCATCAACTGGGCAATTATGGTACCCAATAAAGACCTGCCCAGATGGTTCTGAAGTGTTGAACAAACATCCTCAGTTCTGTACCTATTAACGCACAATACTCGGCCTCATGTTGCCATCACAAGTTAGTGGGTTTCATTGATACACAGGAAAACTGTTACTCAAGCAACTGGATACATTTTGAAAACTGTCAGACGTTTCAAGTAGCACCCACTACTTTTTCGTCATTGCAGTGACTGTGTCACACTTTAAGTAGTGGATACTACATCTAATATCTGACAGTTTTCAAAATCTATCAAGTTGTTTAAGAAACTGTTTCCCTTGTGTAAGTTAGCGTGTTGTACAGAGGCTAAAAGCTACAGAGGCTAACAGCTTGGGGAGTATGTATGGAGTTTGCCAACTTAAGTAAAGACGTTTCCACATGGTCTTATTTCTTTTAAGGGATCCAAAGTGAACTTTCTTCTTTTGGAGTCACAGTTGAATGGAAAACTGTAGAGCAACATAAATCTACCAACCATCTCCATAAACCTCAAACCTTACATACCTTTTATCCAGTCCTAAATGTGAATTATCCTAAACCTTCCATACCCCAAATGTGAGTTATCCTAAACCTTCCATACCCCAGAATTGAATTATCCTAAACCTTCCATATACTCCAGATTTGAGTTATTCATGCCTTATATTTATATCAACATCAAAATTAGTATAAAAGCGTTTCCTTCAGTTACTTTGCCTTCTCAGCAGATCACATGCTGAACTTCTGGTATAATTGTTTCCATTTCTGTTGAGAAGTGCAGAAGGGAATTATTATTATTTTTATAAGGGAAGGGTTGTCCTGTGGCAAAGGTCCCAATTCATGCAGGAAACACAACCTGACACAAACTATCTAACATGGGCCTTAACGTTTAACATTTGTGGCAAAATAGAAATAAATAAATCCTGACTCTTCTCTATCTGGGAATGGACATGCCTACACCCACCCCCGACTCCCCCAATCCCATGTAAGGAGCTGACCATATAAGGAGCTAACCTTATAAGGAGCTGACCTTATATGGCATTCAGATAACCTAAAGATGGTCTAATTAATTCTTACAATTATTTCTGTTCAGTAATTTTGATATTTTTCAGCAACTCTCAGTTTCAAATAGTTTAAGTTTTTCACTTCCTAATATCCAACACCATCCTTATCAGGTGAGTTTTCTGAAATTGTCTTTCCTTCAGACACCCTGATTTCTTCTTTCTGGATTTAAAGTCTTTGATATAAATTGCATGGAAAAAAACTTTTCAGATGATTTTTGAACTTTCTAAATAAACTCAGCAACTTGGAACTTAGTTGCTGAGTTTGAGGTTGGCGAAGTCTGTTGCCATGGTAACAGCCTGTGACAGCGCGTCGACGTTGGTTCCGGAGGCCTGGGCGGTGTTGTCCTTCCCTCCACCACGAGCTCCAAGCACGTCTTTCACATGGTTCACCCACTCTCCCGCCTTCAGGCCCTTCGTAACCGTCTCCTAAACAAACAAACAAACAAACAAACAAACATGTCACATGGCTCACCCACTCTCCTGCCTTCAGGCCCTTAGTAACCGTCTCCTAAACAAACAAACAAACAAACAAACAAACAAACTTAACCTTTGAAAGCTTTCTAATGTGGAGAATCTGCAACAGGAATCTTGCTAGCATCACAACATCCCTTAGGCCCCGTTCATGATTGGATATCTGTTGCGAATCAATTCGATTTAAAAAAATAAATCGATTCATTTAGGAACATGAACGCTCCAAACCGGTTCCGTTGCGATTTATTCTGAACCACCTCGCGAGGTGGTCTGAAACGATACGATACGATTCGCATTCGTAGAATTGTAATCATGAACGCGCGGATGCGAATCGTTCCGGTTCGACGCTGTACTCCCGGGTATGTGGGGGCCACGGTCGGCCATAGTTTGCGGCGCAGTGGCTTGTACTGCCGAAAATTCTACTTGAATTGTACACTTGACATCGAGTTCTAATTACTGGTCGACTGAGGAAACGGGAGTTCCGATATTGACTTGGGGAAATCAGGAGATCCAGAGGAAACTGGATGGTGTGTACTAGAACCTACCCTGGGCGCAAGGGCGAGTGGTAGCCCAACGGGGGCGTTGGGGCGGCGGACCGTGGGGGTTTGCGCCAGATGCGTCCGGGGCACAGCCTATGCCATGGGGAGGACATGAGTCGGGAACGAGCGACCACTCACCCGGACAGGCGTAAACTCTCCGCCTTACGAGCCGGGTTCTCAGGAAATATTCAAAGAAATTGTGATATACATATGAAATGAAAGTCAATTCGAGGTGTGAAACCGTTTCCAGTGTGGGTTCAAGTTTTGAATCACGGACGCAAAAATATATTCCGCTTCGATTCGGATCGTGGCCAAACCTGAACACATTTCAATCATGAACGAGGCCTAAGTTGGTGAATACTGATGTGGGGGGTGAAAAGATGAAGCTGTACAAAAAAGGGTCGAAACAGCCAGACTGACCTTGGGCACCCAGCACTGCACGACGACCTTGCCGGCTGTGTTGTCCGCGGAGAACAGCATGGCTGCTGTCCTTGGGGACTTGACCTTGTAGATCTTCACAGCTTCGTTCAGCGCCTTCAGGTCGGCGCCGGCCTCCAGCTGCTTAATCACCAGCGGCTGGTCGGGCGTGGCTTCTACCTCCTGTCTGGTCGCCTCGACAACCTGGTAAACAAATAAACAAGATAAACAACAACAAACATGGGCGTGGCTTCCACCTCCTGTCTCGTCGCCTCAACAACCTGATAAACAAATAAACAACAGATAAACAACAAATATGGGCATCGCCTCGACAACCTGGTAAACAAATAACAGATAAACAACAGATGAACAACAGCAAACATGGGCGTTGCTTCAAGCTCCTGTTTTCTGAACAATAAACACATGGAATGGCCATGAATATTCTTAACTATCTACATTCTGCATGTTCATAACCCTAGGGATAGTACAAGGGCAAGCAAGCTTGCTTAAATACAGTAATATTGATCTGTGAATCTGGTAACAAAGTTAAGATAATCGTAATTGTGAATTCGGTGGATAGAATGACTCCTGCATGTACCCACCATCTTGACGATGTCGGCCTTGGCAGCCTTCTCAAGGTCGATGATTTTCTTCTTGAGGGCGTTGAGCCCCTCCCGCATCTCGTCTTTCTGCCACTGGGGGACAACGGCCACTGCGATCCGCTGGGGGGGGGCAAGCAGGGGGGGTTACTATCAAGACAACACAGTTTAATGCTAACACTAACACTGGGGGACGACAGCCAC